AATATCATCACAAAAACATTCAAAAGCATTTACCATTTGGTTTTTGTTTTCTTGTGTAAGTAAAGCCATTGGGCGACCTGGGAACACTAGAGGCAGACCAGAGCGGAGAGGCTTTTTACACGGGAAAGAAAGAAAAGCTCAAGGTTGCTGATCTAATAGGGCGAGCCGTGGTGGTTTACAAGACAGAGGACAAGAACTCAGGCCCTGGATTGACAGCTGCAGTGATTGCTAGAAGCGCAGGAGTTGGAGAAAACTACAAGAAGCTTTGTACTTGTGATGGTACTGTCATTTGGGAAGCTACAGACAGCGATTTCGTTACCAGCAAGGTTTAATGATTATAAAGATATTGACACCACATTGCGTCTTGTTGCACTTTAAGACTTTGTTTTTGATCAATCAAAATCAAGACACTCTTGAAACAGTAAAAGCTTCTTGTATTGTACCAAACTCTCTTCTGTAGTGTTTTTTATGGCCTAATAGGGCAGAGTGACAGTAATGACCTTAGAACGCAATGCACTAAACTCTGCCTAGTTGGTGTTTATGTATAAATGTTATCGTTATATCAACAAGCAAAAGGTTTCGTGGTGTAGTTGGTTATCACGTCAGTCTAACACACTGAAGGTCTCCGGTTCGAACCCGGGCGAAGCCATTCAAAACGTCTCCGGTTCGAACCCGGGCGAAGCCATTCTTTTGAATGTTGTGTTTTTGTTTTTGTTTTTGTTTTTCGTTTTATATTGACCAAATGTTCTAGATAATGTTTTGTTGCTGACTGTTTTATGGGCCCATGCAGATAGCTTTAGTCCCACTATTATTAGGCCTACCAAAGTTGGGTTGCACATGGAAACGAATTGTTACTATAGCAGTCTGCTCCACATGATTTATTATTGTAGATAAACATAAGAAGTATTAAATCACAGAATTTTAAATACGAAAGAACATGTGATGTTTTTTTTTTTTTTTGACAAGTGGTGTGCTATAGACTATAGTATTCTACTCTTTAACATATACATAATACAATCCCACATTGACAGAAATAAATCATCATTTACTGTGCTATGTTATTTTATTTTACATAACAATACTGGAGAAGTATTATAACTTTATGTCATGATTAATTCTATTTTTATTTCTTTTATGCCGATTCGTTACATGATTATTTTTCATTCGGGTAAAGATTAAAGCATACTCCAAAAATATAAAAGGCTTACTTTTTATTTGTAAGTATATACGTAGTAACGTAGCCATCCATCATTTGAAGTTTGTTACAAAGCAACGTGGCGTAATCATTATCATCATTCACTAGATTTTGTCGCAAGGTAGTTTACAAAAGGACTACAAAATGCAAAAGTTTGATGGTCCTTCTAAGTAAAGATAGCTCCATATCGTTGACAAATATGTCTTTATATTCATAGATAGTTGTTTTTAGGAGTCCTACATTAAACTATGTCTTCCATGTATCATCTATATGATGTAAAAATTATCTCCATGATTTAAAAAAGCTTGCGTGCGATAAGAAAATGGGTAACGACGGATGTGATAACGAGAAAATGATTTATTGATAGATACACATCTTAGAAAATGGACATATAATTTCAGATCATATCGTATAATACAAAACCAAAAATCATGGTTTTTGCTTTATATGTTTTAAACATCATATATTTATTCCCTTTCAAAGTGAGGCATTTTCCTTTTTTTTTTGTCAACGGAGAATTAACTTAGCATTTAGTAATTGACATTGTAATGGGAGTTAGATTTTTAATAATTTTTAGATATCAAAAATCTAGTGTTATTGGTTTATAGATTCTCACATTCAGTGCTGTGCGAACTTTTCGAACTGCCATAAGGGAATAAAATGTCTGTAATTAATTACAAAATGTTACGATAATTAGTACTTATAGTAGAAATAAATAAAACTAATCAACTAAACAAAATATTAATCTTTTTCCAAGAAAAATTTAAAATTTAATAACCAATTCTATTAAAATAAACAATATGCCTTTATATATTATATGATATTCTTAAAGATGTAAAAAATATTCAAACCAAACAATCTTTTATATGACATCCATTTTTTTCCATTGTATTGATTTTTTAACATTTAAAATGTGTATATACAATTTTGGGTGCTTAATATGAAAACTATACTTTTGTTTTCTTTATTCTAATTATCATAAAACATTGTTTAAACATTGTATTTCATTTGTATTCTTATTAAATGAATAGAAAAAAAAATCAAAAAATGCCCTTATTGTTTGGAGAAAATTTGTTTCCCTATTCCCTAAGCCAATGCTTCAAACTTTTGCATTGAGGCACGACTCTGCTCACATTCTCATTAAAAAGTTTAGATTTTAATGATTTTATAAATTTTAACAAGATCTGGAAAATACTACATATATTCCATAGATATTTAAAATCCTTATAAGAATTTATTTTCCTAGATTTTCACAATATACAAAATTCTCTTCAACTTTTTTTCCAAATTTAATAAATCTATCAAATTTTAAAATCAACAAACTCTATAAAAATACAACTCCCAGTAACACCACCAGGTGTTATTGGTTTCTACATTTTAATGAATTTGAAAATATAAACCATTCTATAATTTTAAAATTCATATTCAAATCCACTTGTTATTGATTCTATGATTCTAAAATAAATTTTCAAATGAGGTGTTATTCAATTATAATTTTTTTTTTTAAACATTTGATTTGGATTTAGATTTAAATAGATTTATAATTATCTTAAAGAGTAAAATACAAAAAAGTAAATATTGAATTATACTTTGTTACTTTGATTGGATTTGTCTTCTCTGTGTTTATCGAAGTTATAATACATAAGCAGCTAGGGAATTCTTACAAAAAGCAAAGTAAATATAAATCCTATATCTCTATGTATTAAATTTGCATCCTCTTTTCTTTATAAGACACAAATGAAAATTGTATTTGCGTGTTCTGATGATTGACATAATTTTCTTTGTAGGTTTTGTTGAATAGATAATTTTCCGAAGGAAAATATTCTAAAGAAAATTGTGAAGAAGTTAATAACAATGATAAAAAAAAAATCTTGAAACTCATAATTATCAAAGAGAACATGCTAATTAAGTGACAAATATGCAGGGAGATTTTATATTATAAAAAAATATGATTTTTGAAATGATAGGATATATGTTTTATTTTGTTATATTTTTGCTAACTTTGTATATCAGCTTCTCTTTAATAACTTACGAACAATGATGTTTTGAAATTTGAATAGTCTTGCTTTTGGAACACGTAAAAAATGATGGTGTTTTACTAATAAGTTTTATTGCAAATTTATTTGATAATCTTCCTACTTCGATTATGAATTTTACATTACAGATTCTGAATTCAATAATTTTTTTTTTGGAACAACATCTGATGTTTTTTAAAAAATCAATAACCCTCACTTAAGCAATTGAGAAACTCTACCATAATACTCTACTTAATATTACAATAGCTTAAAACATAAAAAAAAAATTGAACATATAACCAATATATTTTTAAATTAAAACAGTCATAAGTCACAACGGTAAAGTTTGTTCTTATAAATTTATTCTCCACTATGATAATTTTACTTTTTTCACACACGGATATATCGATCAATTCCACTTGGATACAACTTGTTATTTACCTTTTTCTGAACCAAAAGAGATATTTGTAATTATTACAAAATTCATACTTTGAATATTAGCAATCGCATGCATGAACAGTTGACAAAATTACAAGTGAAGAACCGAAAACATCAATGGAAAGAAATAAAGAAAATATTTTACAAAAATCAAGCATTAAATTTTGCGAAGAATATTACTTGCTATTGGCCAAGTCTGCTTTTCAAAAACTATGTCCTATTACGTTTTCTTAAATAACACTTTTTGTTTCTTACCATAATTGGTATTCAACTTTTAGCGCCTCAATAGTAACTAGATAAACTACTAGTCCATGTGGCACATGCCATGATGATATCATGCGTTCATGCCAATGCCATTCAGTGCCTCAGTGGAGTCGAAGATATCATGTGGCAGTGGCACATGCCATAATGTGTACATATAATCTAGATCACACAATTAGACATTTTAATGATAAATTAAACGCGTGATTAATGCTGATGTGCAAGAGAAATCGCGTTATTTCTTCATAGATCTGATTTGTTTTTGGTATATGTGACAATCCTTTTTCGTTAAAGGTATATGTGACAACCTTTATTACAATGTACTATGGTCAAATGCAAATAAATTGTTTAATGTATATGAACATAGACATAAGCAACGTTGACCAAAACTTATTTATATATTAGTGATTCATTCAGCTCGTGTTTTAAATGTATACGAAAATCATTAAATTTTGAAGTAAATACTTATATATAAAAGATGGAAAATATGTATGGACTTCGTTATATTATTACCATCGTAATTTCCACAGCTTTCAACATTTATACCTAAACTGCAAGTTTTCACTTGAAAGATAAAAAAATTAATACTCTCTGGAATCGTATGATTAATTTGTTCTTGTTGAAATGTGATCTTAGGATTAATCATAAGACACAAATAATCTATTTATTTGCTTCTCAGTTGCTATACTGTAACAACCTCACATGTCCATTTGATCAAGTTTATACTACGAATTTTTCCATCCTTCAAGTTTCAACATCAAAGCTAGTATTGTACTATTGACAATTATTAAAACAAAACTTGAAAAGAAAGGCAACAAACGGCGAATAATTAGTGTGGTTTGTAATTATTAATTAGGATGCGTCATTAAAGGGAAATTTTAATTAGACTGCGTCGTAGAGGATTTGCATTCCGAGTTGGATCTCAAATACGGACCCTACTACCGACACTTCTGACTCATGCTTGAACTCCGAACACAAGACTTCGAATCTTAAAATTAATTTCGTTAGATTTTTTTATCTTATTTTATAATTTTAAAATAAAAATATTCCCTCCAACTATCAGATCTAACGGCTGATATCACTTTAAACCTTTACAGCTGAATCTGAGCAAATCTCCACCGTCCGATTTACATTCTTCATCTTCCTTCTTCTCTACTTGCTACCACCTCACTCTCAGATCTCACAAAGGCAAACAAAACTCTCTCTCTCTCTCTCTAGCTGAAATGGTGGAAGCTCAATCATGGACAACGCGGCGGATGAGCAACCCGAGATTCGACGCCGCCGCAACAACCACACCAACAGTCATCGACATCCCCGGAACACCACCTCACTCCTCCTCTTCCTCCACCGGAAAACCATTCTTCCTCTCATCACCAACAGTATCTCCCTCCCTCCTCACGGCGGCGATAATCGCCGCCTGGTTCGGCTCCAACATAGGAGTCCTCCTCCTCAACAAGTACCTCCTCTTCTACTACGGCTTCCGCTACCCAATCTTCTTGACCATGACGCACATGCTCTCCTGCGCAGCCTACAGCTCCGCCGTGATCAACGTCGCCGGCATCGTGCCACGTCAGCACATCTTGTCTCGCCGTCAGTTTCTGAAGATTCTTGCTCTCTCGGCGATCTTCTGCCTCTCCGTCGTGTGCGGGAACACTTCGCTGCGTTATATTCCTGTTTCTTTTAATCAGGCGATTGGTGCCACTACGCCGTTCTTTACCGCCGTGTTTTCGTTTCTGATTACGTGTAAAACGGAGTCCACTGAAGTTTATTTGGCTCTGCTTCCTGTTGTCTCCGGGATAGTTCTCGCTTCTAACTCTGAGCCTTCGTTTCATCTCTTTGGTTTCCTTATTTGTGTTGCTTCCACTGCTGGTAGAGCTCTTAAATCCGTCGTCCAGGTATGGTTAATTAACGATTAACCGGTTTGGTTTGGTCGGTTTTTACATTTTTAATATGAATTGAACCGGAATTTTTATTCGAATTCGGTTTTATTACAAAACATGCCGCGATGTCTGAATCTACTAGTTCTGATCTCACTTTGGTCGGAAGAAAGTTCAGTTCGAATCCGGTTTGATCTTATTTTATCGGTTTGGTTTGGTCGGAATTACAGTTTCGTATCAGTTAAACCGGAATTTGTGTCCGAATTGAGTTTGGTTTCCGTTATTACAACAAATGTACTTTCTGATCTCACTTTGGTCGGATGAAAGTTCAGTTCGAATCTGGTTTGATTCTTCTTAATCGGTTTGGTTTGGTCGGAATTACAGTTTAGTATCAATTAAACCAGATTTTGTGTCCGAATTGAGTTTGGTTTCCGTTATTACAACAAATGTCTCAATGTCTGAATCTACTAGTTTGGATCTCACTTTGGTCGGAAATTCAGTTCAGTTCAATACGAATCCGGTTTGATTATTTTTTGATCGGTTTATTTTGGTTTAACCAAGTTTTGTGTATTTTGCAGGGGATTATTCTGACGTCAGAATCAGAGAAGCTACATTCAATGAATCTTCTACTCTACATGGCTCCAATGGCAGCATGTATCTTACTACCATTTACACTCTACATCGAAGGAAACGTATTAAGGATCCTAATCGAAAAGGCGAGGACGGATCCATTGATCATCTTCTTGCTGGCAGGGAATGCGACGGTTGCATATTTAGTAAATTTGACGAACTTCTTGGTGACAAAGCACACAAGTGCCCTCACCTTGCAGGTTTTGGGGAACGGGAAAGCCGCGGTGGCTGCCGGAGTTTCGGTTTTGATATTTAGGAATCCGGTGACGGTGATGGGTGTTGCTGGATTTGGCGTCACTATCATGGGAGTGGTTCTCTATAGCGAAGCTAGGAAGAGATCCAAGTTGCTTAACCAGAAGTGAAATGTGAAAGTGGGAAAAGAGATTGGAGTTAAACCGGTGAAGTGATTTTAAAATTTTTATGGTATTTTTCGGTTTAAGTAATTTGATTCTTTGGAATTCTGCTATTGTTTTGAACCGGTTTGAGAGGGGGGAAATGTAACTGTAAATGGTTGAGATTGATTGGGGGAAAATATGAAATGCAAAAGGGTAATATATATAACAAAAGTGGAAAAGTAGGGAGCAGAATTAAAAGAAAAAGGATTGTATCTTTCTTTTATTTTTCTTTAAATTCTTTCTCTTGTATTATTATTTCGTTTTATAGTTTGTATTACTAAAATTGTCGAAACATAAAGTGGAAAAAGTTTAAAATAATAAATTTCTTTCTTCCATTAGGTGGAATCGCATTGTCATCTGGTTGTTTAAATTCGCACGTTATTTTACTTTGTTGTTTCTTTGCAACTTGCTCTTTCTTTTTCTTTTTTGACAACTTGCTAGTTATGTACTTATGTCACTTGTAACATGCTACTCTTTTCAAAATAATTTATTGCAATTTTCAACATTTATTATTCCTACAATGATTTGGAATTTACCATTTTGATCTAAAAGCTACTAGCTCAAGAGTCTGTTCTTTGTTAACAAAAAAAGTTTGATTTTGATTTTTAGTAATTTTTTTAGTACACATGTTTACTATAATTGACGAAGCAACCTCTGTTCGGCTGAACGAAACGTGACAACCAAAATTGAATCTGTATTAAATAGGTACTTGATAAGTTGATGATGATGTTTTAGCTAATGTGGGGTTGAATTTATCATTAGACTTAATGCCAAGGTGTGTCTTCGAATACAATTAACCTTATTAATGTGCTTACACTACTAGATATTTTAGGCTCTATATAATTAATACCAGTACTATCGTCTTACATGCTTCATTTCATATAGAATGTAAATAAATCCAGGTTGTTGTGGTTTCATTCTCATAATTGCATACATATAAATCTCACTTGTTAGTTGGAAAACAAAACTTCCTTCAAGAGTTTATGTTTTTGTTTTCTGTAAAAAGAAAAGAGTAGAGACTAGAGACAGATAATGACAGCTTATATGAGTTTGTCATTTGGTCCAACCTATGTGAGGCTATCAATTGATTTATTATCACTTTTGTAGTATTTTTATGTCTCTTTGATTCAAAGGCTTTTGTTTGTTGTTAGGATAAAGGGAAAAGTAAAACCAATAAGGGACCAAATCCATGAAAAAATCTCTTAAAAAGAAGAAGAATATATGCTTATATTCTTATTTCCTTACATATAATTGGTTGCTCAACATATTGTATTCCTTTTCCAAAATGTATACCAACTTCACGTTGTCTAGTAACTGTAGCTAGTAATTACTTTAATTTACCAAAGCTTTAAGATTGATATAATAGTCAAGAAAACATTAAAAGGAAATATTGTATGCTATCACAAACTTATTGTATGTTATCTCAAGAAGCATGTTAAATAATGACATTACATTCACACTCAAAATCACATCCACACTCCAAAGGCTAGCTGAAGAAGAGATGGCATGAAAAAGAAATCACGATGTTACACAAATCAAAGAGGTAAAGAAATGGTCCTCTGGTTAGCTAAATTGGTCTGTGGTCGGAGGTCCCATGAAGCAGAGTGTTGTGTTTCCTCAGGTTTAATAAAAGGCAGACTGATCTCATTGATCATTAGTTCTCCACAGAATGGGCATTCGCTGGCGATAGCATCATCTAGCTCTGATCGAAGCTGCCTCACGGTAAAGAAAGTATGTCAAGACATTGATGTTAAGAGAATACAGGGAAACATAAAAACGAAAAGTGAAACAAATACCTTGTCTGCAGTAGTTGAGCTAGTAACGAGTTCATCAGATCGATTACCATTTATATCCTTTCTCGTTTCGCTACCAAGCAATGTCAGCTGCTTCTGCAGATCAAGTATATGCTCCGCCTAGACATATTTTTAGGCAAACCAATTGAAAAAATGAACTCGCAATTGTAACATTGGTACACAAATCTAATCTGAGAGTAGAATTAAGAAACTAAGCTACAGTTAAACTAAATCCTTTCCATGGTACAAACTCTATGACGATCGCTAAACTTCATTACAAGAACTCATGGTTTGAGACTTACTTGCTCTTGGTGTGCACAGCTTGTAACGTGAGTGATCAGGCACTGGGCATGGAAAGAGTGCCCACAAGGAAAGACGTAGAACGGAGCCAGTGGTCCAGCTGAAAGATATCCCTGCGCCATTCTGAAATCTCCGGCCATAGTCAAGATTTTACGTTTACAAACCTGGTATTACATTCAAAATGGATAAGGTGTGCTGATGATTTTGGTGCTTCCAAAAACTTTCGGTCATATCTTTATACGATAAAAAGGCTATTCAATCTAAGGATGATCATACCCCACATTCCTCTTCACGGTCGATCACAGCATATCTTTGTGTTAAGGCACTGATATCGTTTCTAATATTATCTGCACCACGTGTGGCATCATTCATCTCTTCTTTCAGTTGTTCTATTTGCTTGTTGTAATCCTCCAGAGACGAGCAAATCGCTTCCTGCACAACGGTGTTGAAGAAAATAACAAAAGCGGAGAAGCAACTTGGTTGGCCTTAGACAGAGTGTTTGTGTACTTTGAAAAGAGAATAAATTGACTAACCTTGAAGTCATCAATTAAGGCAAAGTCCGGGAAGAAAGGCAAAATATCTTCAATCTTTAGAAGACCATCAGTTTCCTTGAGAAAAGCAATAGCTCTCCTTATGTTTTCCCTTTTGGCTCCTTTTTCCTGCTTGACGACATGCTTTGCAACCATCAGCCACAGCTTCTTTCTCAAGTCTTCATCATCTTCAACCTTATCAGCTTCAGCCATAGCAAGCTCTGGGTCAATCTGTAAAACAAAGAAACAGTTTTCAACCACTACGAAGAAAGTTCTCGTAAAAATGATCAGCAGAACCTAAGAAACAATTTGGAATCATAAATGTAGCGAATTCGGTATCTATTTGTAGCAGTTTTGTTTCAAGGATGGGGCGTAAAAGACAGAAATGAATAATACCATTTTAATAAAATGGAACTGTTACCTGAAGAGCAAGGGCTACTGCCTCTTCATGCATAGACATCATGCTGTATATATGGACACAGGCACGACTTCTCTTTTCCTTGAGACACAAGCGCAACGCATATTTGGGATCGTAGAAAAATTCAGGACCGTCCTCTCGTCCTTTCCCAAATTTGCATTGCAGGAAACGGAGGAGAGCACTGTCATCTTCCTATTTGGATATATAAAAAGAAAACCGTTATGTATCTATCACGTTCATAACATCTTGTCATAATCTGAAGTGGAAACGAAGATAGTAACCTACTCTGTTGCTTTCCGGATTAAGAACATGTTATTAAGAGTTTATGACTTTATCAAAGAAAAATTATTTAAGGGAACCAATCAGACCTGCTTGGCATATAATGAGAGAAGTAAATTGTGAATCCCTGGATCCTCGTTATGCAATTGGTGGACGCAAAACTCAAGATATTTTATAACTTCATGTGTCTCGTTCCTGCATTTTAATTTGAGAAGTTATTGGTGAGATTATAGCACAATGTAAATGGACATTTAGTTAAGAAGTTGGCCATTACTTTGCATGAGGTTCGCTTGAGTAACGCATCATTGCAGTAATTAGTCTCCTTGGATTAAGATTTTTATTGGCCATCCATGCTTCCACGGTTTCATATGCGTCAAGCATAATAAGCTCTGGCGCAAATTTATACTGAAGTGTGTAAAATATATTTTAGCTAGAAGAAAAATTTGGAGACCACTTTTTTCTTAAAAGAAAAACTGGTGTTACTTTTTACACACCTGAAGCTCATCTGAAACTGAAGATTTCTGTAGCACATCCAAAGCTTTCTTTGCTTCCCCTTGCTAATAGTCAAAGAATAAACTCAGTAAATTGAACAAGCCTGAGTAAGACAACGTATCTCTATGGATCAATAAGAATATAAAACATATCAGGCCGTTCACCTGAATATAATGGTGAATAACGATTTCATACTGCTCCTTCAGGTTTGCAAAATATACCAACTCTTCGACTCGACCATAACTATAACAAAAGCAATAAAAATGAAGAAAGACGATGTTTCATACTGCAAGCAAGATATCCTAAAGGATGTGCTTGGTACAGTCTTTTGTTTAGAACAGTCTTAGAGAGAATAGCTCATTCCAGAGAATAAAACACACCATCTTCATAAAGGTCAAGTTCTCAGTGGCTAAAGATACATTTTAACATATTGCCTGGGAGGCTTATCGAAATTACCTCTCCAGAAGTTTCATGGTGGTTGCCTCATCTAATACATCCTTGCAGTCGCTCATGAAAGCACGGAATTCTTGAATGACTGAGTGATACTCTGAGTTACGATTTTCAATAGCAGTGTCATCTTCCAAAAGCAGCCGATTTATCTAAATGCACATTCAAGAACCATACGAAAATAAGATAGATAAGCTCAGAAAGAAACCAGAAAGCAAAATCAACAAAACTATGACACTAGCTAAATAAAGTACGAAGTATATTACACTTATGAAGATTAGAAACCAAAAAATGCGTATACTAAGAAGAGAGAACAGAAAATAAGTATAGTAAATGCTCACCTTGTCCAGATATAGCTCAGTTGCCCACGTTGATATCATTGTAATTTGACATTTATCATCCTTTGAAAGAGTATCAAGCTTCCGCAACAAGAATGTTCTCAAAGCTTCCTGCAATCACATAAGGAATAAAAAGCGGTGAATATTAAAGCCCACATATGACACACATTTTTACTCCAGAGCAGCAAGCATTAAATCAGAGATTAGATATTTTGAGATTAATTTATGGTATATATATATAAAACTAGCCAAGATGCAAATAAAATTGTTTACCGGTTCATTTATACTAATAAACTTCAAAGTGACCTCTTCAAAAGATATTACGTAATTGATCTGCAAAGGAAAACATTTAAACAAGTCAAAATTATATCATGTTAGAGCAAAGTAAAACAAAGGAATGAGAAATTACTTTGGAATAGAATGATGCTGCTCGTAGATATTCTTTGTTGGCGAATGCAGCTTCTGCCTACAAGAGAATGTGCCCAGTTCACACATAATCAAAACCAGAGAGATTCTTTTGGTAAAACGGTCTATAGATAGGCGACAGCAATACTAGAAACATCGTCCTAGTAATTCACAACGGTGATGGACATCGAATATTACCTGAACTAAATAAACTTGGTCTCTCTGGAGAGGGTCACGACAGTTTGCTAAAGCTGCAGCATAATCTTTCAAGTCTAGGTGAACCTTCCACATATCTCTGCTTTCGTCAACCACAGAAACCTAGAGAAGACATCCAGAGCCCAAAATTGAGATGAGAACGTATAAGATATCAGAAAAATTACTCAAGTAGTTAACAAAGATCATTATAAACGAGTACAGGCCTAAACAGACCTGGAAGATCGAATTCTGATCATACGCATAGAAAAGGCCAGCAGAGGCATCGCTGCAAAGTCCAATAACGCCCCTCGAAGCTGAATCAGCCGATATATCAAACTGGAGCTCTTCTATGATTTGTTCACTTATCCGATTCACAACCTACAACCACATTTAAGGAATGCAGAAACCAGAAAGTAAGCAAACAAGTACACAAAACACATATGTAGCCAGATCAAACTGCAACGAGAGATGTATAAACGGCATGTGTCCAAAACATACCTTAACCTTATTCCCAATAAGAAGCAAGAAATGGAACTCTGAGAGTGCCATTGAACTAGGCTTGACTACGTCAGTGCCCTCACTCAGTTTTGAGTAGTCCAAAAGCGCTTTGCTCTCCACAAAGTTTTCATCACCATTTGGATTACTACCAAACAAGTTCCAATCAAGTTACAGAATGATATAATCTAATAAGATGAAACAGGCTAAGTATACAAAGATCCCAGCATAAAAGTCAGAGGGATATCGGTACTCTTAGTCTACCTGTGCTGAGCTCCAAAATTTAGGCCACCATGATATATTCCTGTTCCTGAAAGCCATGCAAAATGCACCGCTCTTCGTTGCTTTATAAAGAAATGTAGTTCACTGAAAAACGACAAACATTATATGTTCAGTGAGCAGAGTTACGCTTTGTGATTTCTTTCAAATAAGAAGATTAGCACTCGCCTGTTTGGTATTTCACCAGGAAGTTCCATAAAACGAACTGCACGTTCTTTATAACTGGCAAAGACAGACTGAAAGTAAACACTGAGGAATTAGAAACTGAATGAAAGAAAAGCTGATTCACATTTTCAGGAGATCATAGATATGGAACCAACACGATGTAACAATGAGAGGCTATATCCAATTGCTGTGATATCTGAAGGGAATAATAATCAGGTTTCACCTCTAAAGCCCAACCATAGGGATTTAACTGACCACTACTACTCCATAAGTTTTTAATTCAGTAACATCATGGACCTGACTCGTAATCTCTAACGCTACCATTTCAGTTCATGATTATAAATTAATTTTACTGTCATGGGAGTACATGTTCGGAAATAAATGATAAAGAGAGTTTTAGCTTACTTCTAATGTTCCAATCCCGGTGAAGGAATAGAGTCGAGTAGGAGTTACAGCCATCACATAGTACCTCATTCCAATGCTTATGTTGGCTGTTTCCATCTACACAAAAAGACAGTGATTGGAATAATAAAGCCAAAACATGGTTCGGTCAAAGATCTCATCGGGGGATAAAACTTTTTAACCTATCATAAATTCATTCACGCTTAATAGCTTATCAAACTCACCGAACCGAGAAAAAAAACCACAAAAATCTTAACCAATACAATATCAACAAAAATATAGAATAGCCATTAAAGCTTCAAGTCAAAGTAAAAATGGTATTAGTACCTGCAAATCCATGAAGGCCTCAGGAAGTTCCTCTAGTTCGAACAAAAACTTGATATACTTCTCTCTCTTATCCATCTCATCCACAGCCATCTCAAATAGCTGCGCATCTTGAGTGCCAAGGATGATCTCCTTAGTTGAAACTGAATTCAGGGGAAAGACAAAAAATAATAATATCAGTATCCATCTGAAAGAATAAAAAGCAAAAGATTCATAACACACTAAAAAGCACAACCTTCTGTTATCTGTTGTTTATTCCAAGCCACCGCGTTAACCAACAAGCCTTTCAAGCGGCTCAACACACGCGGCTTAGGCCACTTAGCATGAGTGTAAAAAGTCTCAGCTCCTCCAACACCAGTGACAGTAGCAATGCAATGGCTTCCACCAGGATCAACAAAAACCTTGTGGATCGATTGCTCCCCAGTTCTACCAACAGAGAGATCAATATCTACAATTCAAACACAGATTATATTTTACATTTCACCACTGAGAAAGAGACACATGATTATTTTGTGTATGTGAATACCATAAGAACTGCCAAGTCCGAAATCATGGCGGATGATCCATCCTTTGCTTGTTCCCAGAACGATTACATCGTTTCCAGAAGCCATACATGTGATCATGCCACGATTCTTAGTGGCATATCTCTCGAGTAGATCTACTGAGAACACTTGCCTTCCTTGATCCATCTCTTCCTCCTCTCTTTAGTTAAAACTGTACACAAAAGAGCTTTAAAAGGTGATCATCCAGATTTTGAGATTTTGATCATCATTTTATATCTACCTCGGAGAAATATACAAAAACATAACAAAAACGAAATTAACAGTTGAGAGAGATCGATTCTGGTTTCTCAATCGCAGAGTCAACACATAATCACATTATACACTCTGGGAATTTACATTTCGTTAGGTTTCTACAATGCTCACAACAATCGGGATCGTTACCTCCGTCGGAGAAGTCGCCGGTACGGATTCTGAAATCTGGAGGCGAAATACGAAACGGTGCCGTTTTTCGTATGGCCTCCGACGTATTTATCTTCTTTTAACGAATCACAAGGCTGACTCGTTCAAAAACAACTAAACGGTTGCGTTTCGGATTGGAATGTATAGTAATGTACCGAACTGTGTGTTTCTGTGAGTTCAGTGAGTTAACCAGCTTTAAACCAGAAAAACCGGATAAATGGGTTAAACTGAACGAAGCGCAACCTGGAGAGAGAGACAATTCGATTCCTACAGGTATCCGGTTTAAGTCTGGTTAGATTGGTTTTGTTCCAGGATCATCTTGATTATTAAACTGGTAAATTGGAATCACTAAATTAATATTCTCTCAGTTTCATAATATTTGTCATTTTAGACTAAGTTTTTTTCAAGTTAAGTGTCGTTTTAGAGTTTCGAAGCAAAATTTATTAGTTATATATAATATTCTATTTTTCTATTGGTTGAAAAGTGTTTAGGTATATAGGTAATTGTGTTTTTATCTTGAAAATATGTAAAATTAAATATTTTTTAATCTGTGTGCAAAAATCTAGAATGACAACTAAAGTGAAACGAAAAGAATAAGATGGATAAGTATAACTCCACGAGTCTAATTTATTATAGGAAATTAAAGAACTAGATGTTCTAATGAGATATACATGAAAAAATTAAATTCAAAATTCAGTTGAGATATATACAAGAAGAAAAAAAGCAGAGATTTACATTTTCAAATTAATATAAAACAAAACAAAATATATATATAATATGATGAGTTTCAAGATCCGTGTTAGAAGGTGATATGTTGTGGTAAGGCTGGCTCCTTAAACGTTTAGAGATGAAAAAACGTTAAGTAGTTGTGTGTTTTATGCTGTCTCTACTTCATCTAATTGCATTGCGCTTAACTTCTTCTTCGCATACATTGTGCAGACTATAGTCGCGCTAGCAGTTACACAGAAACCAAGAACATTCACTACTATCTCCACTGCCGAGAGAGTGTGTCTCTTGTCTGATGCAACCGCTAGTGTTCTCAGCATTATCCCCCTGCAAAAAAAAAACACTAATTTAAAGATTCTGCAGAACATGACCTTAACCATAGAAACATAGATAGAGGACATACGTGTAGATGGAGACAAAGATCTCAGGAACCATTCCAACAAGAGAGCCTAAGAGGTAAGGACCGTAGTGAACTCCGGTCGCTAATGCGCAGTAGTTGTAAATCATGTAAGGGAATGGAGAGACACGGATTAACGTGACTGCTTGAAACTGATGAAACCAGTTTCCTTCACCGGCTGCTCGAAGTATGGCTGCTTTTTTCGGGTATTGCTTCAACCATTCCTGCAGGGAGAGAAACTTAATAAGCATTGCAAACCAAAGAGCGCTTAGTAAATAGGATGATGATGCTTACTTGCATCTTGTGAAGGAAGAGATGTCCGATCAAGAAAGGAAGAGTTACACCGATTGATGCAGCTGATAAAATCAATAGAAACCCTTTGCCATAACCAAAGGTGAGACCAGCCATCCACATGGAAGGAGAGGAAGGAAGAAGAATGCTTGGGAATAAAGCAACCGAGGCAAATAGGAGAAGACCTAGCACAGGGATACTGAATGTGCTTCTCACCCATTTTATAAATGGAATCAGTTCCTGAAATAGACACACAAAACATAAACGAGGATAAGCTTCTCTTTTTTTTTTTTTCAAATGAATGTAAAATTTTATTCAAACAAAAAAAAACTTTGTTACATCAAGTGCTTCTGTTTTGATTACTATAACGAATCAAAAGAAATAATCTTAAGTACTCAAGAGATCTATTTAGCTTCACGTTACTCATCTCAAGAAATACATGATTGATTACAATTAAGCAAAATAATTGTTAAAACCCTTTCCAGCACATACAAGTCAAAAACTTTACATTACAATTGGTGAAAACAGAAACAGGAAACATGTAATAAAACACATTAGATGAAGAACACTAGACAAAGCTCATGAATAGTAGAGACGATTCACAGATTCCAAATTTGAGGGAAATTTACAAACTTTAGTGACTGGGCTCACAAATAATATGGCCAAAACCTTCTATACACCTTCAAAATTTGGTTTTGAATACTTAAAAATTTAAGCAAGAACCCTAATTTTTCAACCATTAAAACCAAGAAATTAAAAAAAAAAACTAACCTTTTCGATCAGAAACGGAGCAATCCATTTGATAATTACAAATGCCAATACACCAACACAAGCCACGAGGGATATGGATTTAACCCAGAACCACACAGATCCTATCGAAGATCCTTCTTCTTCTTCAACGGATCCATCTCTTAATTTCACATAATCTCCTTTCTCGGAATCCTCCATTCTCAATTTCAGCTCAGGCACCGTCTTATCGGCGACATCGCTGTACGTCATTGATCGAATTGAGAGAGGGAGGTAATGGGTTTTAGATTCGAAGAAGAAAAGAATCTGAATTATTCTCGTACAAGAAAAACAATTAAGTTTTTTAGTGGTGGTTTGGTTCAAATGATTAAACCGGTGTCGTATTCGGCGAGAGGAATGGGTTGTTTACTTAGCTGTTACTCACGAAGCGCCGATATTTAGGCGCGTTGTTGAGTGACTCTTGCTTTATAGTATTCGCTTAGTTGTCTGTTGTCACCACAAGTTCATGTATGTGGGTTTTAGATATTTTTCTTGATAATATGATTGTATCAAACAAGTGGCACAAAATCAGATGGAATTTTTTTATTTTTAAGGGTTTACAAGATAAAGATGGAAAGTAATGGGTTGAGATGCTTATCAATAGTATTTTCTGGTTTTATATAGTTAGCATACTTTATGAAGAACTCAATAACGGATATTAGTTGCTTGAAAGCAATACGTATACAACGAGATAATGAGGTGAAGAATACACTGAGAAGCAACAAAAGTTGATACTTCGAAGCAAATTGAAAGAACCTCTTTATAAGTATGATTAAGTTTCTTATAATTAATTGGACACATAGTCTTGTTGTGAGGCCAACGCACTTTTGAATCCAAAACATAAACAGGTAGACTGCTAACAGGTAGACTGCTAATCGGATCCACTTGTTATCCCATCTTGATTTCGCATAAAAAGTTATTGATCACTATGTATTGTTTGGTTATAAGAAATAGCGTCATTCTCATTTACACGTGTGTTCTTGGGTTCATAAACGGAAAGTTATTGGTAGCAATGCTCACGGATCCCCATGGATGGCCAAGCTTTTCGACGGAACTAGAGAGGATCTCGACGCTGAGGATTTGTTTACCAGATTTCAAGATCACGTATATACCTAGATCTTTTAATGTTGTGTCCGATCATTTAGCTAAGACTGTCCGATCCTTTTATCGTGAACTCATGTATCTTGGTTGTTCTATTCCGGTCTGGATTTCCAGAACACCTCAAGCTTGAGCAATACATCAGCCTTTCGTTGTAAAAAAAAAAAAAAAAAAAAGGGAAAGTTATTACGGACCAAATCCAAAAAGATATATATGCACAAACTAATTCAGCCTGTTTAGAAAATTGGTGGTCAAGCTGTTTATCTCAGCTAATTCAATGGGCTGAACATTTCAGCAAGCGAGCCGGGCCCAATGGTATTTTAGTTTTTGTATAATGTATATTTTTGTAAAGTTTCCCAGTCAGAGCAACATTATCGCCTGTCTTTTAGCCCATTTCTTCCTTTTATTGGGTCGAATTTAAATCAAAAAGATTAAGAAACAAAGCAAACGTACCTTAATTAAGGGACAAATGGACTCGTCTTTAGCCAAAGAAAGAAGCCATGTGTCGGCGTCTGGATAAACCTCAATAATATATGTTTTTCCTTTTTTCTTTTTTTTTTCTTCATCTTTGTTTTCTCCGTCTCGTGTTCTTTCTTCTTCTTCTATCTCTTTTCAATCGGTTCCGTTTTGGATGATCCGAAGCAGAGTTTGTTGAAAACTGTGTGGGTAGAGGAGAGGTTTGGTGTTTCAACCATTTCGGCTTATCTATCTGTCGATTCCTCTCCAAGCGAAACGGTTCTCTCCCTCTCGGTTGCTCTGCTATCCACCACGACGTCACCCGCGGTGGCTCTGGTCAGCGATCCTTCAGTCATCGATGATCTGATCTCTCTCTCGTGCTTTCAGGCATTAGAGCCACAGCAAATCAACCTATAATAATATTAAATTTTTTTGCTAAGAGACACAGTATAAGTTCCAGCTATAATCTCCATTTCGTATAACGTCTCTTACAGTTGTCTCTTAAGTAACATTAATTAATATAATAAGCTAAGGGACTTAGATTTGTATATAGCAATAATGATGCTCTCAGCGTAATAGGTTTGTAACTGTAATATTCAGCAAATAATCTCATGAATAATGGTGAATATCAGTAATCACTAATGGTGTCATCAGATAATATAAAAGTACTCTCAAGCTACGTGAGAGAGAAGTAGTGTGTACCACTCCTAATTACTTGTGTGTGCTTTTAGCCTTACGCTTCGTCATTACTCAACATCTAACTCATAACATAGATCACGCTGCGACTTTGATAATTTTATTTATTCTTTTCTTTTTTAGCATTCTGTATGCAAAAGTCAATCATGTTTTCTCAGAAAAAGTCAAATCATTTATCTCTGTATTTTAAGCATTTGATGAAACAAAAGTCAACCCATATCTTTCTTAATTCATTAAACAGTACTCGAATTGTTATGGCCTCAGTAATTAAGTTTAATCTTCATTATTCCTCTAAAACTGACTGGTACATAACATTCGGCTAAAAATTCACTTGCAGTGTTAACTATCATTTATCGAATTATATATAGTAATAAGAAATACATGTTTTGTCACGTCCGAGGAGCAACATGCCCTTTGAGAGTAATGGTGTGATATTTGTAAAACGTTTAATCTAACTTCATCTTCCCTGCTATCCCTTACAATTATTTAATAATCTCTTAGATTATGTTTTGTCATATATACAATGCACACATATAAGGGTGGGCACGGATCGGATATCCGGGTTTTTAAGGTATTTGTGATTTGATTCGAATGTTACGGATATCTAATTTTGGTATTTGCTTTGCTTCGAAAAATACGGATATCCGGAAAAACGGATATCCGAAAAAACGGATATCCGGAAAATAAATAGATATTTACGGATATTTACGAATATCTCATCCATTTTGATTAATACAAAGAATCTTAAGATTTTGATACAAATTTACTTTGCAAAAATATTTTTTTGCATGATATATAATATAAAAATTAAAAGAACTAGTGAATTTACATATTTTGTAATTTTTTTAAGTTTAAGTTACAATTATAATAACACAAAATTTAAGAAAAAAATATAATTGTCATAAATTTTCTCTCTCTTTATGTAATATTTTTATATAAATATTAATATGAATAGAATTGTTCAAAATCATGTGCTAGAATAATAATTATATAATTTTATACATTTAAAATGTTAAATATAGTCAAGATATACATATATTTATATATTTACGGATCGGATCGGATTATCCGTTTCCCAAAATTTTAATATTTGTGATTTGATTCGATTTTAACGGATATTGAATTTTAATATTTGCTTTGATTTGAAAGTTTACGGATATCCGGAATTTTTGGATCGAATCGTAACGAATAACGAATCGAATCAAATATAACGAATAAAATGCCCAGCCCTACACACGTAGGTCGTGACTCGTGACAATATCTTTCCCACCTTGGAATTTGAACCTCTTTATGATGTACAAAAAAAACAATTGCAAATTGATGAGATTGAACAACCAACCCGAATAGCTTATGGACATGAAAAGCTGTCATGTTAGAACAAATATTATTGGAGCGGCAAGTTGACAAACAGACTCACCTCGTTCAGCAAATATATTACACTTGTGTGATGCCCATAATAATCATGATCGATATGGTATTTTCCAAATACATGAGAAATTGTTTCCACCTTTAGCTACACTAGTTTATATGCTACATCCTAATTTCTAAGATAATCATATAGTGATCAAAGTCTAGTTTCTATTAATAGTCTAGGAGATTACCACCAACTCAAAGGGTTTGGACTTCTTAATAGTTGAACACAAAAAGGTCTTCTTCTTAAATCAAAGAGAGGGAAAACATATTGAAATTTGGCGGCAAAACACTAGCAGTCAAAAAAGCAACACCACACATCGATAATGGTCCTACGAAAAAACGAGTATGTATGAGCTGTAATGGCAGCACGTCAGGAAATTCACCCACGGGATTTTTTTTTTGGTCCATTCAACGTTTCGTTCATACGAGTTGCTCAAAAGCTGTTATTTTTTTTTCTTGTGGGCTGTGTTTTTTCTTTTTCCTTTCTGCACATGTGTTTATATTTTCGAATTATTCTTAAAAAGTCGCATTATGAAAAAATAATCATTTATCTGAAAATTAACGGCACCGACCGGCCATACCCAAATTCTAGTGGACCCTCTGATATTGGTTGATTATGTTGCCAAGTCTATCGTTAATCACCTTATACGTCATCATGACCTGGCTCTCTTCAAAACCGACGTGCAAAGAGCCAACCACAAGACAAACAATTGTATTTATTTTTTAAGAAACCAATATACATGTATCATAACAGGAAGAGCCAAAATCTTTCCGAGAAGTTTCTTGTGGACGTATGGAAAAGCCCATAACTATGATTATTTTGTAGTTGTTCTAAGATGCTCGGCCAACATATTTTGATTTTTTACACATTTGTTATCTAGTACTAGTAACAGTAATTGGCTGTCCAGTTATACTAATACATAAATCGGATTTTAATGCCGACAAATTAGTCATTAATGAGTCATTAATGCTAGCTAAAACATTTGTTGGAACTCTGTTTTTTAAAAGCTGATAGTTTCTGATTTTCCGGCGACTTTTCCGGCCAAGCCAGTGGTCGTTCCGGTCAGATCAGCAGCTCGTTGTAAAGCTTGTAACAAGTACTACAACGTGGTATATTCACACTTTAAAAACAGATCAAAATTGAATAAGAAATGAAGCTTCAAAGTTGGTATGTTGGTGTG